GCAGCAGCAAACCAAAGAAGTACAAGCGACTTCAGGCCTCGCTCACAATCTTTTTCGTTTTTGTTAATAAATTACTTAAATGCATGTTGTTGATGGTGTGGTCCATGTTAGTGAAACATTTTTAGTTAGCGAATCTGACTAATTCACCCTCTGTAAAATAGCATCTGTCCCACATGACAGTCAATCTGGATGACATTCAACCGCTGCCAACATGTTCAGTCATCTGCACCCGTGCCTCGTATTCTGTCATTGATTCTGACTGCATGATGGCATAATCAAACATATAAAAATAGCACCAGAGTAAAGAGAAAACCACTAAATATGCATACACACTAAGCACAGTGTGTGTTCCTCTCCTTCCGATCCTTTAATCTGCTGGAAGTTCAGAGCCAGCGAGGCCACAGTGAGAGACAGCAAGGGACAGAGAGAGCGAGGAGAAACCGAGAAACCACAACAACCGCCACAGAACTGTCAAAAAGCTGGGACTCTTGTCCAACATTTAACCATCAGAGCTCAGCTTGGAGACTAAATGGGGTGACAGTTGAAAGGAAGCTGGGGTGGTGAATTGTGAGTAATAGTTCTTTGTTTCTCTGTCCCAGGAGGTAAGCAGACACATTGCACACTGGAGGAGAACAAGGCTGTTTCTGCTGCATTTTGTTATTTGTTTCCCCATGTGGGGAAAAGTCTGGCAGTGTGTGGGGAGATTGAGACTCAACAGTACTGAGAGTGTCAGATAGGCAAGAGCGTGACAAACAAGTAACATACTTTCATGTGGAAGAAAAGGCTTTTATCAAATTGCATTATATCAGAACACAAAGGCTTAGTGCGTTTGGTTATTTCTGTTGAAAATGGTGAGTTGACATTAGTTTTGTTAATGCCATGCTCCATCATGCCTAATTTGAATTATAAGAATATTTGTTTCCAAAATGCATGAGGTTTGTTAAAGACCTATGGCAAATGTTACAGTTGTATGCATCCTAAAAGGAACATAATCAAACATAAAATGTTAATTGAATGATTTAAAGATTTACCAACTTATTTAAACTCTCCACACACTCTCCTCATCTTTCTTATCCTGCTTTACTTTTGTTCTCTTCTTTTTCTACACATGATGCTGTTTTATCTTCTTCCTCAAGCTTATAATCTGCCTCCTCCTTCCCTTTCATCCTTGTACCAATCTTCTCTATTTATTTATTATTTTCCTCCATTTTTTAACTGCACACTTTACCCCCAGCTCACACTGCAATTAAATGATAGGTACTATCATACATTATAAACAAGCAATATATATTAGAAAAAAACAACAACACTTGAAAATATTTGTAATTTTCTTCCCTCTGGGTCTGGAGTCCATGTTGGAAATGGATTTTGGTGGGACTGTGACACCAGATCTCTTCTTCTAGACTAAACCTATTGTTGTGTTAGCCAATTAGATATCACCTGCCCGGCCACCACAAACTTTTAAATCTCCTTAGCAACCACCTCAGCTGTAGCATGGGTCATTTTGCAAAATGGTGACCTCTGCTAGGAAGAGGAGATTCTCTTAACACTGTTAGACATTTGGTTGCTTTGTTCCTGAAAAACACATGTATCAAAAACTAAATTCTTTCCATAATGGTTGCTGAAGTTAAATGGAAAGACATGTTAAGTATATTTTATGTAGGGGTATTGTCTGTAGAATGGACTTTTCATGATAACCTGGTAGCACAAGGCACCAAGGAACATAATGCACATAGTGTACCCCTCTGAAATTAACATGTAGCTCAGTGGGTACAGCAGTCCCAGAGAGAGAGGTTTGAGTTCCAGTAAGACCACCCATGCTGCAAAATATGGTACTGTGTACAATATTATGAATTCTATCTTTTATAATAATGTTCAATTATTGTACAATTGCCTCATGGAAAATTGCAAATACGGTTTATCGGCATATATAAATATAAACTTCATCACAGGCAAAATAGATAAAACCACTTGAGCTTGTCAGTGAGTTTATTCAAAAAGCACTTTCATTTAAACACAATATTGAGAACATAGTTAACAGTTAGTTCAGTTCAGTTAAAAATAAACCTTGATGGTTTTCCCATCAAAAATGCTTCTTTGAGACCACAAGAGGAACATATGTACAAATGATATGCATGTTTGCAAGCACATACAAACACACATTTGCAGACATATATACTGCACATGAATACATTCATGTGCAGTATATATATATACCACATTCATGTGCAGTATATATGTGCAGTATATATATACCTCCCAGCCTCTCTTGTACATATATATATACATACATATGTACAAGAGAGGCTGGGAGGAAGAGAGCAAAGCCACACACCGGCACATCACTCTACAATTCCACTTGTTGTGTCACCGTTTGACAAATTGTTCCACCTATAGTAAACACAGCTCTCACTAGTTAGGCTCCAAATGGGGCCTTCACACACCATACAAGATCTTACATCCCATGTTAAACTTAACTTAAAATTTCTGTTATTGTCTCTCTCCGTCTCCTTCTCTTGCTCTTGCATGTTCTCAATTTGTGTTTCTTCCAGAACACACATCACAATAAACACTGACATAAAAGCTAAATTTTCAATTCATATAATTTTACCCATGATAATGAGCCACATTTCCACCGCCAACCGGACCATCTGTGAATCTCTGATGAGTGTCTTCTGTGAGACAATGGAGAGTAATGCTTTAAACGGAGAGCATGGGCATCATTATGTCATGTAAACAGGCCTGGCATCAAAGGATCCAACATCACGCACCCTTGTGGTTCAGTCACGGTCTAAGCAATGCGACTAGGGCTTTGACTGCTCTTGTACTGTGCAGGCCACACTGGAATATTTTCCACCATGTATTAAAGCAAAACCCACGCGTTGACAGTAATGTCAGAGCTGATCTTCTGAATACTGATTAGGACTGATAAGGGCACCAACTTTTAAGAACCACATAGATTGAAATGAGTCATTTTTATTTTATTTTATGTATTCATTCATTTATATATTTATATTTATGCTGTGTCATACTTTATTTTCTTCACATGACTTCAGTATCCTAAACAGGGGAAGCAATGCACTAGCAAAACATTCACTTATAGTTCAGCTAAAACAAATGATGCAACTGCATGATTAAAAACGTACACGTACAAGATCAAGTATTTTGTTTGATAAATCTAATAATTCCTTTATTTAGTTTATATTTTCATTTTTGAACAAAAGCCATTTACATCTATCATTTTTTAATAGTTAATACAATACACAGATTGTTCCTTCAGCAATTAAGTGAAATCCGACAGAACCAAATTATAAAATGACATAAAAGACAAAAATAGGGGGTCCAATTAATTATTTTCTCGATATTACTTAACACAAATCGTTCTCGGTTACAGTTACAGTACAAAACATTGGCTCTCATTTGAGTGTGTGTTCATAGATGATGTGAAAACATTGTTGCTGTTCCTTTGATTGTATTTATTTGCGTGCATGAATAAGTTAACACTAGAATAATGATGTTCAAGTATGTTTACGCACACATTGCACTTATTGTGTTGTTACATCCTGAACATTAAAACTTCTGAGTGTTGGTATTATGTCATTACACAGTGTTGATGGACTGCAGTTAAAGTTGCCAAAAAAAAATAGAACTATTCACAACTTAAAGACCCAGAAGAAATCATCTATTCTAAGAAAGTGCTTACTTTCACTTCTGGACCTCAGCTTTCTGGAAACACACAACACGCTGCCAAGATTTTACAAGACCCAGGGTGTGTTTTCAGGCTGACACTTCAGATTTCAGAAAATGTGGAAATACTGGAACCTGAAATTAATGTAATGTTAATTGCAGCATAAGTGCACAACAGGTAGGCAAAGAGACAGCCACAAATAGAGGAGAAACAAAAAATCTTGAATGAAAGAAAATGCACTCACATACCGACAAATATCTGAGTGCAAACACATTGTGTGCTGAACACATGCAGAGAGAGCAATAGAAACAGAGCCTTTTGATGTACTTCAATGAAAATCACAGCAGAGAAAGATGAAAAACAACTGCTTGAGTGTAGTATTTTTTGTGACTTGGTTTGGCTAGAGGCTTCTAACACTCTCCTTAGCTGTTTACTCTGATAGGTTGCAGCCTCAGGGCGTGTTATAGTCTCCAGGTGAGGACCAGATGGATCCAAGCAATGCTCTCTCTCTCTCTCTCTCTCTCTCTCTCTCTCTCTCTCTTTGGCTCCAGGCCTGATTACCATCACCACATATTGGCCTAGTGGAGACAAAACAAAGCAAGTGGAAGTACTGTGAGTTGGAGATGAAACAATTTAAGACAACATACTTGTTTTCCAACAACAGCTCAGCCTTGACACACATACTGTCCCCTCCAAAGGTATTGGAATGGTAAGGCAAATTCCTTTATTTTTGTTGTCATCTGTGAAGCATGGTGGAGGTAATGTCATGGCTTGGGTGTGCATGGCTGCTTGATGATGGTAGCAGCAGAATGAATTCAGAAGTGTACAGAAACATTTTGTCTGCCAATTTACAGAGAAATGCATTGAAACTAATCGGGAGGAAGTTTATCATGCAGCAGGACAATGACCCAAAGCACACTGCCAACAAAACAAAGGACTTCATCAGGGGGAAAAAGTGGAAGGTTTTAGACTGGCCAAGTCAATCGCCTGATCTTAACCCAATAGAGCTGCATTTCACCTCCTTAAGAGGAGACTGAAGGGAGAAACACCCCGAAACAAACAAGAACTGAAAGAAGCTGCGGTAAAAGCCTGGAATAGCAAGTAAGGCCATGGTCGGCTATAGCCTCTCAGTGAAGCTCCACCCCTGTCTCTCTAGAAGCAGGCACACACCTGTGCCGCTTTAGGAGTTGATTTATAGAGAGCACTCAGGCTCTCTCTGTAGGCATTGGGGTCCAGTGTGGCTAGAGAGCAGGTATGTTTTGTAGGAGTTATGAGTCAAGGCTGACAATGTTTTTAACTTGTGAACATGTTTTTAACTTGTGAACATGTTTTAATCACAGGTATTTTAAGTCACCTGTTGTCCAGACCTTGTCAGCTGAATAGCCTGTCGTGCTAAAGGTTCACCACAGAGAAGGCAGTGCTTAACGCTGAGGTAAAAAGATGTTGTCTAGTAGAGTTATGCAAGTTTACTAGCTCGTGTGCCTAAACATCTGATCCATAAATGAGGTGGAGTCAGAGCTGGGTTGACTACTTACTGCATTGTGAGGTAAATATTATTTGTCAGGTATTTAGCAAGTATGTTTTTGCAGTATGTGTTAAACAACTGAACTAATTAAATTCTTGTAATTTTAGGGTTTTATAGCCACTGCTGTTTTGCCTGCCTGATCAACTGCTGTTATTTGTTTGAATTGTTATGTCTATTCTTATATTATATTATGAGATTTGTTACAGGTGGATGGGCCTCTGTGAATGTGGCTGCCAAGGTCTGCTAAGGGTATGGCGGTTGTCCGTGGTTTTTTTTTTTTTTGGCTGTACGATTTTCCTCAGCTTGTTGGCCCTTTTTTATTTTTTTCCCTTTTCAGTGTTCTGCTAGACCGACAAGGTGGTGGATTGTGGGAACCCCTTTCCCCTTCAATGCATGTGGTGGTGGGTATGACAGCTGTGTGCATGCTTTACTTAGTTTTATTGTGTGATGTTTGTGTGTCTAGGTGGCTGCGCACCAGTGTGAGTGGTGTCAAGGCACCTGGGTGGCAGGTCTGGCCCTTGTACATGCAGAGGTGTTTAACGTGTCCTTTTATCCCTTGGCGTCTACATCTTATCCTGTTTTTATTGTTGTGCTTGTGCAGTGAATAAAATTGCCCAAAGCCTGATTTATTTTTTTAAATAAATCTTCCTTCCGGTTGAAACTCTTGTGTTTGAATTTTATTAATTGTGGGAAACCCATGGCAATTGGTAATTGAATATTTGGGGATTTGAACCCTTCACTATTTGCCTCTGTTACAGAAGAATGCAACAGTTTGTCGATGGGTTGCAGGCTTGAGGCAGTTATTGCAAGCAAGGGTTATGCCACCAAATATTTAATGTTATTTACTTTAAGATAAGTAGTTCCATTACTTTTGCTCACCTAAGAATGCTGTGATATGTCCTGAGTTGTTTAACACAGATGTGAATACCAGGAAACAAAAGCTGAAATTCTGAACTCCTGTCTCATACTCCCCTTTTGATCTTAAACCTAAATGTCTTCAGTGAACAACAATGGAATTTGCCTTACCGTTCTAATACTTCTGGAGGGGACTGTATGTTTACAGTATAAACTCACACACTTTATTCTTGCAGTCGGTTTAAATTAAGTGGGCACACAAACATTCTCAAGCTCACTTAATGAAATGAGAACCTCCCTAAAACTGTATAAGCAGGGCTCCAGTCGCATTAGTCCAAATGCAGTTATGCAGCACCTGTATGTTCTGAGTCTTTGTCTCTGCAGCTGGGGTTGATTTGATGATTGCAGCATGGAGGGAGCAGATAAACAAGGCTGTTGTCTGTTTGTAATTTTGAGCCTGTCTAGGTACTGTCGCTGTTGTGTCTGCTTACTGCACTCAAGTGTTCTTTGAGATGCAGGTGTCCATGGGTTGAGTTAATGGTAAGCAGCGACATCTAGTGGCCAGACTGACCTATTGTTAAAATCATTGATAGTCAAATTCTTTCAGACTGAGAGTAAATGCCATGGTTATTCACTTATTTCCTGCTCCACTAGATGGAGATCTATAGGTGATCTGTGCCCATAATGCAAATAAACAGGATATTTATGGGGCACGTATATCTTGCTGACCCATTTTGCTAAGTGCATTATGGAAGACATACATTGTGATAAATAGGACAGGTGGCTGGAGGTGGGATTACAATAGTGAGGATGATGATAACCAAGAAAAAGAAGAGATGATTACATTGGTGTAATAATAACGGTTAACCACTTGATGGCAGCATCGTTATAGTTTAGAGTTAAAGAGGTGTTTTTCCATGATTTCCTTTTCAATGGTGCTTTTCTTGTACAGAAACATTCCTTGTTGCAACACTTCTAAAGTTATTCTTCTGAGAAGACAACCATGAAATAAATTGCACAAACAAGATCCATATTATTATTATATTTTATACATTGGTATTTACCGTGCCAAAAGCAAAAAATGCAATACGGTTTGTATCTGAAGGCAAAATGTAGTTTGAAATTTAAGTTGTGAATTTTGTCTCAAACTTTAAAACCCTGGAGGTTACAAACATATGTGTGGCCACACTCACACACACCCACATACAGCAGCGCAGCTACTTTAACTCTTTAAAGGCTTGCACAATAAAAGCTCCTAATTAAAGCTAACTTTTAGTTGTGTCGGGACAAATATTTTTATGGCTATTTTGTTGTGGTTGATTTTCATTTTCAAAGCACCAACACCTGCGCCCAGATGGTGTTTCTTTTTACCATCTGTGAGAGTAAAGTGTAAAAAGATGATCGATATCAGTGGCTACAACACTTCCCTACCTCCAGATGGCATGATCGTTAAGTTCTCTGAAGACTGTTGTCTGGAGTCCAATCCTTTAAACTCCAAATGTTAAGAAGAAAAAAAATCTTGTTTATGCCTAGGCAAGCTTATTACGCTTCATTTTCAGCATACTTGTGAGAAAGGGAGAAGAGGTTGTGGGTATTCAAGAGCCTCTTGGGGTTGAGAATACATATTACTAGCCTATATTCCACAACCTATATTTGGCAATTTCTGCAGTGTACTGTAGTACATGGTTTTCAGATGGTGTGCACCATATGTCACAATTAATACAACACAGCTGAGGCTACTGGTGTGATGCTGGCTGTGGCTCACACTTGCACCTTTGTGTTGATCTTGAACTTGTTAGTGAAGTGTATTTTTTTAAGGGAAGTTGTTTATGTTTTTATGTGATGGAATAAATGGTTATTAATTATGTGTCATCCGACTAAATTGTTTAGTGCTTGTTAAGAAACTGGTATCAGTCTCAGTAGTATGTGTCCTGGACATTATACACTGCTCAAAAAAATAAAGGGAACACTTAAACAACATAATGTAACTCCAAGTCAATCACACTCCTGTGAAATCAAACTGTCCACTTAGGAAGCAACACTGATTGACAATCAATCTCACATGCTGTTGTGCAAATGGAATAGACAACAGGTGGAAATTATAGGCAGTTAGCAAGACACCCCCAATAAAGGAGTGATTCTGCAGGTGGTGACCACAGAACACTTCTCAGTTCCTATGCTTCATGGCTGATGTTTTGGTCACTTTTGAATGCTGGCGGTGCTTTCACTCTAGTGGTAGCATGAGACGGAGTCTACAACCCACACAAGTGGCTCAGGAAAGTGCAGCTCATCCAGGATGGCACATCAATGCAAGCTGTGGCAAGAAGGTTTGCTGTGTCTGTCAGCGTAGTGTCCAGAGCATGGAGGCGCTACCAGGAGACAGGCCAGTACATCAGGAGATGTGGAGGAGGCCATAGGAGGGCAACAACCCAGCAGCAGGACCGCTACCTCCGCCTTTGTGCAAGGACCAGGAGGACCAGGAGGACCAGGAGGAGCACTGCCAGAGCCCTGCAAAATGACCTCCAGCAGGCCACAAATGTGCATGTGTCTGCTCAAACGGTCAGAAACAGACTCCATGAGGGTGGTATGAGGGCCCGACATCCACAGGTGGGGGTTGTGCTTACAGCCCAACACCGTGCAGGACTTTTGGCATTTGCCAGAGAACACCAAGATTGGCAAATTCGCCACTGGCACCCTGTGCTCTTCACAGATGAAAGCAGGTTCACACTGAGCATATGTGACAGACGTGACAGAGCCTGGAGACGCCGTGGAGAATGTTCTGCTGCCTGCACCATCCTCCAGCATGACCGGTTTGGCGGTGGGTCAGTAATGGTGTGGGGTGGCATTTCTTTGGGGGGCCGCACAGCCCTCCATGTGCTCGCCAGAGGTAGCCTGACAGCCATTAGGTACCGAGATGACCCCTCAGACCCCTTGTAAGACCATATGCCGGTGCGTTTGGCCCTGGGTTCCTCCTATGGCAAGACAATGCTAGACCTCATGTGGCTGGAATGTGTCAGCAGTTCCTGCAAGAGGAAGGCATTGATGCTATGGACTGGCCCGCCCGTTCCCAGACCTCATACAGGCACGTGGAGGCCATACACACTAGTGAGCCTCATTTTGACTTGTTTTAAGGACATTACAAAGTTGGATCGGCCTGTAGTGTGGTTTTCCACTTTGATTTTGAGTGTGACTCCAAATCCAGACCTCCATGGGTTGATAAATTTGATTTCAATTGATAATTTTTGTGTGATTTTGTTGTCAGCACATTCAACTATGTAAAGAAAGGAGTATTTAATGCGATTATTTCATTCATTCAGATCTAGGATGTATTTTTTTAGTGTTCCCTTTATTTTTTGAGCAGTGTATGTCCCTATATGTGTCTCTTGAATATTTTTCATCAGGTAGGAAAGAATCTGAAATAAGAAAACACAATGAAAGTAAATCCATATCACACATACCACAAAGAGAGAAGAATCACACATATACAGCAACCATAGCACTCCTACGACTAATTTTAACATTTTTATGGATTAGTGAAATCAATTGCTCATCTGGACTTAAGAGGTTGCCTTTTGTATCACCGCAACAAATTGACAGAATGGGGAAAAAACATACTCATTCAAAGAAAACACATAACCTTGATTTGTTGGTTTTACATTTGGAGGATGGTAATGTGGATTTTGACAAGGCAAGTGTTTCAAGTTTTTTTCTCCTGTCAAGGCAGCAGCCTGTCTGCAGTACTGTCAGCTCCATTTTGTAACACAAGCCAGGGAGACTGGCAAACGAACAGGTGGGGTTGTCATATGTTTGTGAAGGAGTCTACTAAATGTTCTCTCCAATTAACAAACAGCTCAGACATTTTCCTCACAGCAATTCTCTCTCTCTCTCTCTCTCTCTCTCTCTCTCTCTCTCTCTCTCTCTCCGCAGTTGTTGCTCGCTCCATTTGGGAGAGACGCATGACTTGTTACATGCCTTTCTAGCTCTGCTGAGAAATGGCAGATTGAAACCCATTTAGCAGATAGAGCTGGAAGAGTGATGGCAGGCTACCAGCGGCTGCGTTGGCTGATGGAGAAGCGCTTGCAAAATGTTCTGTAGCTATCATCGTGATCCTACTTTGAAAAATTCAAATGCCGCTTTCTCTGCAGAAGTCAGTATTGTGATAACAGGTGACTGAGAGGCATGCAACTGGTTCTGTGCAACAGTCTGCCAATTAAGTCTGTAGATTCCCTCCGGGATGCATTATAGATACATAATGCATAATGGGGGAGTTCAACAATCACCTCATGTAACTAGCAACATTTTCAGCTTTGAGAGACTGTGAGGCTAGTGCGTAATTAACCTGCTGTAAGTACTGCAGTGTACTGTGAGTACTGTGAAAACATTAGCGAGGAGAGAGAAGAGTCTGTTGGGTACTTAAACAGGTAGCTCACCAGAGTGGGCGCACTGACTTAACTCAAACAGTGTGAAAAGAAAGGGATAATTAATTGGCTGGCTGGGCCATCAGTGCTGTGGCAACATTTTGTGAGGATTGGGAGGAAAGAAAAGGCTACTACCTAGTTTAACTGGCTCATTGGTTTTGCACTGACAACATTTAACGAGGCATTACCAGAGTAGTTTTTAAGTCTGCTGGGGCAACTCCAAGTCAAGTCTCTAGGCTTTCAGAGTAACGGCATGTTTACACAGGAGGCGTTTCAGCTGCTGTTTTAAGTGTTCCATCTCACGTGCATCAGACAGAGCAGATACGCTTCTATTTTAGTCAGTCCAGCTGTCTATACAGGCTGCAGAATAGCTCACATTTCACTCATG